TAACTGCTGTTCGGGGCCATAATGGAGCTTGAACAAAAGGGGAAAATCAGTAATACTCATCCCATCTTCATTACATTTTTGATATTTTGTTCATTATGGGCTTTTTGCATTCGCTTTTACTTTGTAACATATTACATTAAATATTTATTTATCATGGTTACTGAGTTTTTGGTGCCCCTAAATTTTGCACCTATGGCAAGCATCTCCTCACTTACTTGTCTGTCCCACCTTGATCCTAGGGGTGCGCACATAAGGGACAGCGGCCACCTTTGCCGCAGGCTGAGGCAGAAGCTTGCACAGGCTCCCAAAGTGGGCCCAGGGCCGAAAGGGCAGGGAATTCCAGGCTTGTGACTTTGTGAAGTGGGGGTGTGGGTCACAGGTGGAGGCATACCCTTAGGTCGCCAGAGTCCTTGTTCATGAAGAGGAGAGTGGTTGGAGGAGGGCCAAAGAACCCTCTGGAGAGTAGTTCTCAGCCTCAGAGGTCTTGGAGGCTTGTAAAGATATAGCTCGCTCAGAGTCTGATGCAGGAGGTCTGGGGTGGGGCCCAAGAGTCTCCATTTGTAGGGTGCAGAGGCCCCTTTTTCCTGGTGGGTTTCTGTGCGTGGGAAGTAGGGAGGGCCTCAGCATTCTTTACCAGACTTACTTTTAGCTTTTGATCTAGCAGCATATGCAGAATGTATCTCAAGGGAGAGTGCAGACTTTCCTGCTTTCCTGGCCAGTCTTATCTTTGTCACTGTTATTGATGGAGGTCTCTCCGGGAGGCCGGACACTTGCGTTAGGATGAATCATTGCTATAGATTTTGTTTTCCCGTAAATTTCTTGCATGATGTATGGAAATGAGAGCTACAGTATCTGATGTCAAGTAGTATTCTTAAGTACCTTTAGATCATGTTTTAAGTTTTGTTTTAAAATAACATTATTTTTAAAAGTACATTAAAAAAACTTTTAAATCATATTGTTTTTTCATATAAAGGAGAAAATGTCTCATAAGCCCTCCACCCAAATGATCCCTGTGGATGGTAATAGTATTGAAAGTACAAAACAAAGTAAAAGCTACTTTTCCATCTTCCTGTCTCTACTTGAATCCCTCTCCAATATTGATGTTTTTATTATTTTTTCCAGAAAATTTTTTTTATTCATGTCTGTTCTTCTAATACTTACATACAGGAGTATCATATGATAATACTGTTAGACACTTTGCCTCCTAAGTTAGTAGTGTATCTTGGACATGTTTCCATTAGCAAATAACAGATTGACCTTAATTTTCTTAGATGGTTCATAGGGTTCTTCTTTGGAATGTCCCAGTGTTTACCTAGCCCTCCAGTAAAGAACTCTTTGGTCCCAGGCTTTTGCTATGTGAAAAGCCCTGTAATGAATATCTTTGTTGATATATCTTCAAAAAGATTTTGCGTCCAGCCGTAGGTGTAACACCTAGTAGTGGAGCTGTTGGACAAAGGGTGTGCACACCTTTAGGTTTGAAGGTTTTGCCCTCCAGAAAGGTTCACCCCTGTCAACTGTGATGAGCATGCCTGTTTCCCCAATATTCTTGCCCACAATGGATATCATACAAGTAAAAAGAAAAAAAATCTATTATTCTAATAGCAATAAGATATAAAATAACTAGGAATAAACTTTGATAAGTGTTCAATGTCTATGTAAAGAAAACTTTAGTATGCACCTGAGGGACCCCAAAAAAGTCTTGAATAAATGAAAATTATGCCATGTTCTTGGATGGGTACTTATAGCCTGATGAAAATACTCATTCTCCTTCAGTTAACATGATCCAATAAAAATAACAAGATTTTTTTGGGAAGGAGAATTTGTTGAGTTGATTTTAAAGACCATTTGAAAAAAATAAGAATAGACAGGAATATTCAGAAAATAAACAAGAAGATAGGAAGATTCAGAAAATAGCCTGAGTTTCATATTAAAACTGGTATGAAACTAAAATGGGTTAATGGATCACAGTCATAAATTTAAATATGTTCAGGACTATAATATATGATAAAGGTGGCATCTCAAATCAATGAGGAAAAATGTATAAACCTTGGGGGAGAAATGTTTAATTCATATTGCATACATTCCAAATGGATCAAAAATCTACATGCCAAAAAATTGAAATGTATACTTCAAGATATCACAGGAGAATTATTTTCTAGTTCCAGAGCTCTTCTGCTATGACATAAAACTCAGAAGCCATTGAAGACAAGATTGATAAATTTAATTTGATAAAAAAATTCTTCATGGCTAAGAGTTTTCCAAAGTTAAAAGACAAAAAATCAGGGAAAGATATTTGCAACTGGTATCACAAATAAGGACTGATCTCCTAATATATAAAGAGCTTCTACAAACCAATAGAAAAAAAAGGCCTATAACCCAACAGAAACTAGGCACAGATTATGAATGGTTAACAGAAAAGGCAACACAGATAGCACTTAAACATGACATGTTTAATTAAATACAAATTACATAGTAAGAGAAATTTAAATTAACACCTCACTATGAGATTAGCCAGTGGTTGTATATCACTGATGGGACCTAAACCTGTGCTACTCTATGGAGGAAATCTGGCAATATCTGGAAATACTATAATGCACTTATCTTTAGCCCAGCAATTCAACACCTAGGTATTTATTTTTTATATGTACTACAGGCACTATATTTTTCATTGCAGCAATACTTATAAAAACAACAGCTTGAATAATCTCTGGTACATTACGGTACACTGTGAACCTGTAAAATGAATGAGGAAGAGCTCACTTGACTCCAGTAGAATGGTTCTAACAAAAGTGTACTGATAACTGATAAAAAAATGATTAGAAGCCAGGTGCATTAATGCTATACTACCATTTGTGTAAAAAGGGAGGGAGATATATAGGCTTTTTTACTGTATTAATTTCACGATCGTTAACGTGTTTATATACATAATGGGTAATATTAGTTTTTAAAAAATATAAATCTTTATTGATTTCAGAGAGAGGAAAGGAAAGGGGGAGAGAGAGAGAAACATCAATGATGGGAGAGTCATTGATTGGCTGCCTCCTGCACACCCCCGACTGGGGATCGAGCCCACAACCCGGGCCTGTGCCCTGACCGGGAGTCGAACCCCGATCGCCTGGATCCTAGGCCGATGCTAAACCGTTGAGCCAAACCTGGCAGGGCTGGGTAATATTAATTGCCTGGAGGGAAAAAGCCTAAGAGTCAGGGGACAGGGCTGGGATGTAGTTTTCACTATATATATGCTTATACCTTTTGAATTTTGAATCTTGTCTGTCCTTAAAAATTTTTAATCCAAATTTTAAAATAATTCAGTAAGTGAAAATATGTATTTGTTTTGACATGCATAATTTTAATGTTTAGTTCATTTGGATGTCTTTTTAAATAGTGACTGGCTTTTCATTTTTTTAGGCAATTGCTTATTCATATACTTTGCCCATTTTTCTTTTATTTTATTTGGGGGTGGGCAGTGGTTTCTTTGCAAATCAAGAAAATCACCTTTGTCTTAAATATCACAGAAATTTGCTTCCAGTTTATCTTTTGAGTTTGTTTATGCTGTTTTTTGCTACCTGTCAATTTTACGTTTGCGGGTAGTTGGTATCTCCTCCCTCCTCCTCTTCCTTCCCCTTTTTTTCTTTTCTTTTTTTTTTTTTTTTTTTTNTTACTGTATTAATTTCACGATCGTTAATGTGTTTATATACATAATGGGTAATATTAGTTTATAAAAAATATAAATCTTTATTGATTTCAGAGAGAGGAAAGGAAAGGGGGAGAGAGAGAGAAACATCAATGATGGGAGAGTCATTGATTGGCTGCCTCCTGCACACCCCCGACTGGGGATCGAGCCCACAACCCGGGCCTGTGCCCTGACCGGGAGTCGAACCCCGATCGCCTGGATCCTAGGCCGATGCTAAACCGTTGAGCCAAACCTGGCAGGGCTGGGTAATATTAATTGCCTGGAGGGAAAAAGCCTAAGAGTCAGGGGACAGGGCTGGGATGTAGTTTTCACTATATATATGCTTATACCTTTTGAATTTTGAATCTTGTCTGTCCTTAAAAATTTTTAATCCAAATTTTAAAATAATTCAGTAAGTGAAAATATGTATTTGTTTTGACATGCATAATTTTAATGTTTAGTTCATTTGGATGTCTTTTTAAATAGTGACTGGCTTTTCATTTTTTTAGGCAATTGCTTATTCATATACTTTGCCCATTTTTCTTTTATTTTATTTGGGGGTGGGCAGTGGTTTCTTTGCAAATCAAGAAAATCACCTTTGTCTTAAATATCACAGAAATTTGCTTCCAGTTTATCTTTTGAGTTTGTTTATGCTGTTTTTTGCTACCTGTCAATTTTACGTTTGCGGGTAGTTGGTATCTCCTCCCTCCTCCTCTTCCTTCCCCTTTTTTTCTTTTCTTTTTTTTTTTTTTTTTTTTTTTTTTTTTTTTTTTT